CACCTCCTAAACACCAGAGAGGATTTCAACCAAATTTAGTCTGAAGCCTCACTAGGGGAGGGCAATCATTTCTTAAATACACGAGGTTGGTTCGACCCCTGAGACCAGGGGGCGGGGCCATGAAGGGGAAAATTATCTAATATTTTGCTTTAATACGATCATATCCCCTAATTGCCTGAGTGGATTGTACAAAATTTGGTCAAAAACATTATTGACAAAGAACAAACATTTCTTAATTGAATGAGGTTGATTCGACCCCTGCGGTCCTAAGAAATGGTACAGCTAGATTATCATATTCTATGGTGTAGTTTTCATAAATTGTTAAAAATTGGTTTCTAGGTTTATAAAAGCTTACAGTTGAATGAAAATATAAGTATTGTCTAAGTAAACCCTGTAATATGACATATTACTTATTTCAACATCTGTTAACATGGCAACTCAATGGAGGCACCTGATTAGTTGAAAGTCAGATATTGTGGTCCCAGTTGGGTTAGAATATAGATCTTATCTTATTTCATATAAAGATGTTCTAATGCATTCAGTTGTAATGACTTATATATAAAACCAAGTGAGCGATACAGGTCCGATGGACCTTTTGTTATATAAACATTATATAGCGCCAGGTTTTTAACTTATTTATGATATCGACGCCCCGGGAATATGACAAATCGTAAGCACGCAGTTGCCTTTCTGATTGGTTTCAGGTAACGATACCCGACAAAGCTATTTTATCAACTTTGTTTCCATAAACCTTCATCACTCCTTTTACGGCATTTATACATGTGTCTTTCCATTTCAATTTGTACACGATGTTATAAACTAAAGATATGTTACCCCCCTGCCACTATTTTAACTTTCTAGGTCTGCACTGCTGCTGATTTGAACAGATATGCGTGGTTTTGTATGATTTTAATTTTGATTCCTCAAACGGTTGCCAAATACTAAAATATTTTCCTTGCGCTAAATGACCATTATCGATGGGTCGTTAAACTAAAACAAACAAACTTCAACTCCGATAATTTTTACGTGACGCTGTGCGTGATTCTTTCGATTAATGTAAAACAATTGAACTACAAAGAAATGTAGTCTTATTTCACGATCCACAAGGAGGCCACACATTCAAAGGATCAGTGTAGCAAAACGTAAGCCTGAAATGTTGAGGATGGTTTAGGTGTGTTTTTGTTGTTTTTTCTGTCCTGTGCTGTAAGTGTTATGAATGGGCAACATTAACATCACTGTAAAAATACAGAAAGGAGTAGAAACTGGAAACAATACTGATTATGTGGCTATGCTGTTCTAGTTGTTGGAAGTAGAGAGACATAGGAGGACAGTGAAGCTGTTTAAAGGACGTGTTCCATGCTCCCGTATACGTGCTGTATGTAACTGTGACAGCCTATCCGCATCTAAGGAGCTGACCGGCCTTAGGGCGTGATCTGGACGGGCAAGGTCATTTTGAATCACCGAGGGCCCGGTAAGCTGGAGACTTACCCCCTCAAGACGCCAGAACTCGGGCTCTGCCCGTGAAAAAGAGTCTATAAACCCATTAACCAACCAACCAAGTAGAGAGAAATACAAAGTCCGAAATATTCCGATGAGTGCAGCTGATTTATTTTTATTGCTTTTATGTCCCCAAATGAAGGACACCAAAGTAAATCCCCAATTCTGCTGGGTTTCCCACATTTGTCGGTCCTTACGAAACATGCAGTGGGTAACAGCAGGTGTATTCTTTTCTCGATCCCCGACCTGCAGGGGTGTAGAATCCAATAAGGAAAAGTTTTAATTAAACAAATGTGTTAAAGGAATTAAATATTTACTTATCTTTAAACTTTAAAGTTACTAAGAGTGTCCAGACTTAAATTTCACATGAACATACTTAAATCATTTGGCTATTCGAGTCAGCCTAATACTTATCACGAATTTCTTCACAGAATCGATCAATACCTATTTTATTGATATATTATAATCACAGAACAAAGGTATAAATAGGAGATAACACCTTTCAGCAATGAACACAACAAAAGCACCAGTGATTGTCCTACCTGTTTTTTTCTCCGGGTTAATATGGAAAACAGACTCGCACGAACAGAGGGGAATAAAGAGCTATCCAATATGGGAAAATATTTATATTTAGCATTTAAGAGGCGTTAATTTAAGGTGAATGTATTGTGGTGTTTCATAACTGTAATGTGCTAATTAAGTAATGTTATATGAACATTATTGAACGGTGTTTTATGTATACTGTGATGTCACACTCCCGTCTACTCAAATTATATTTAGAGAATGTTATATGTATATATGTTTGTACATATAAACTTAAGGGCTTTTGGCTAATAATAAAAGAACCTATCGGCAGCATAAGATTATATCCAAGTGCCGCAGTAATGAATACATTAAATGAACAACTTTGAGTGAAACATAACCATTAATTAAATCAAGGTAATTATTTTTTATTTCGTTTGATGTGAAGATGTTTATTTATATCAAAAACACACAAAAAAACAAACAAACAACACTATACAAACCACCTGTTACCAATACCGTAATTAAAGTAATGCGATGTTATGTAGGAACACTATTACAACTATCAATTTAATGAAATAAAGACAATTAAATACGTTTAAATTATATTATATTTTTGATTAGGTTATGGAAAATGTCATTTTAAAGCTGATTATATCGTCATTGCTATAATCACTATGGCTCAAAGTTGGGGTAACGAGGTTCGCTCTGTTGGGCCTACGTTGGCATGTGACGTTGACTCGACGTTGACCTGAAGATCAGCAAAACGTTGACTTTACGATAGGTTAACGTTAGCTTGTGTGTACCCGATGGGTCAAGTCATCTTTATTTATGTATTTATAAACATGGCAACACAAGCCTTTTAAGGCTTTTACAACCAACTGATTAACAAAATAATGCAAATAATGATAATAAAAACAATTGACAAAATCGTATCACATCAACATACTGTACATACATGTTAAATTTAGTGAATACATTAAGATTTTTTTCAAAGAATAACAATGCAGTTTATAGTAATATCACAGTCATATAGTAATTTAAAATGTTGGAATCTAAAACATAAACTTACAGATACTAAATGAGCCCTTGTATATCACACCAGTGTTACTAATGGATACGGTTAAAACATTGTTATAGTGTTATATACATACAATTTACATTGGTAATGATATACACTAATGTAGTGTGCATTAAAGGTTGACAACGAAGTCCATGGAATGAAAAAATAGATTATAATTAGTAAATTATCAACAGAGTTTTGGCTTTTAAAATAAAGCACTTTGCAAAACTTCACATAAAAGGGATATAATTATAACGGTTTAGTTATTGATATGATATCATGGCCATATAACGCTAATGAGCAAGTTCTTAATTAAGAAACATAACACTTCAAACATTGAAATCTATATAATTGGCATCTTAAGCCCGAGTTTCCTCTGGCCCTGACACCAGTCTGAAGACATTTTGACACACCAGACCTATCTGTCAAAAGGTCTTAGTCTGGTGGCAGGGCCAGAGGGAACTCGGGCTAAAGATGTCGATAATATTTCAATGTTTGTATAGGTCTGGTACTACGGCATCTTATACATTCTACACATTTTGAATTGATATGTCAAGTTACATACTTTTATACTATACTTTAGTATGGTCAAGTATTTACCTTGATATCTTATATTAGTATGTAAGTTACGTACGTAAAAGACGTCGACTCGCAGTGATCTTGTATTTTTTCTAGCGTTTTTATATCTTTCCATGACGACAACTGATTTCAGCGAAGTACGAAACTGTTTTTCTTTTCTGATACTACTTGACAATGAATATGCTATATTTGGTTATGGTCTTCTTATCTACGAAGTGCATAATATTTATTCACAAATTCACATATTTCATGTGTATTCTTTTGTGAAGTCAGGTACCTTTCATCATTCCGGCTCTTATGTATTATTTGATTCTACTTTGGTATTTATTGAATTTTTTTAATTACTTTGATAAAAGCAAAAAACCAAACGACCTTACAATATTCAAGTTGTAAAGAATTGTCGGAAATACGCAGAAAACATGTGATACTGACATATTGATAGTGTCACCCCTGTCTATAGCTAACTAACGTGAAGCCTACCTTGTGGATTGTCTGCCGTGGAGATTGCTGCGTGGCGACCAGTTATCGGGTTGGCCAGTACCTATAACAGAAATCAACATATTGGGATAATGACACACTATGAACAAAATAGTCAATCAATAACATCGTTAAACCCGAGGAGTTAAATCTCGTCAAACATTATTTCTCCATTACGTTACCCATGTGAATGATGATCCATTTTGTTTTCATATTCGATTCATATTAGATTTGCTTGCGTGCTTTCAAGTATTCATCAGGTCCAGTAAAATAGGACAAGGACTTTGCGACAAGCTTTTAAATATTGCGAAATGCTGCGGGAAATTAAGAAATAATTCGCATGACAAAGTATACATTTAATGTATATTCGACAACATAACGCATACGAATACTAGTTTTAATCGATAGAATAAGACAGTATGACCGGGATTGACCTGTGTCCTGTACTCATCACCGTTACCTGTACAGATACGACAACATTTGGTGAACACAAGCCTGTCATAGACGAGTGAACGCAATGACCAGTTGTGTCGGGTGTCACACACATGTCATGTTTTATGAATGAAATATCAGGTATGTAAAGCTATGCAAATACAGATACTGGGAAAACCCATTTAGTCATTTATAAGTTTAGAAACACGTGCTCATGCGTAGGGAATTTGCTGTCGGTAGCAATTCGTTGCCTACACGTAATCTTATACTATATTACAAGCCCCCCTGGGCAGCTGCCTGAAATTTTATGTTCTTAATTGCAATACTATGATACCCGGTTAGTACAGGCCATAGGGGCAGCTGCTTCACAGTTCTATCTTTAATTGTTATAAAATACGATTTCTTACCTTCACCAACATGATCAGAGTAAATAACACAGTCGACAAATGCCATTCGAAATTCATGCTTACACCTCTCGGAAATATATTTACTACAAAATAATGCGCTTATTGCAGCAGAATTACATGCACTGTATGATTTAAACATTAAACGTCTTGCGTAAGCAATTGGATGTATATTTATAAGAAAGAATATACTGAAGGATGGTAGCTTGCTCTATATAATGCCTCTGTGAAGTGATCCTACTACTTTAGTCATAGGCTTATGTATACTACGCTAAACGTGTAGACGGTAATATAAAAATACAAATGTCGTAACCAAATTCCGGTTTGGGACAGTCCCTGGTATTTCGTTTGAGCTTGCAATATCATCGAATGCCGATCAGAATGTTGCAACGTGAAGCATATTAAACTAGCCATGCATGCCTAGATACCAAACAATACCCGTAACATGAAGGAGCATGCCCAACATAGCTGAAATAGCATACGATATACCCAATGGATTTCATGGGAATGACACTGGAGTTATAAATATATAATCAGTGATTAGATCGTTCATTGAAATTTGTTAGCAACACGTGCAATATTAACTGTATACATATATGTTGATGACGATGGACACACGATGCTGAATTTAAAATGTTAAATTGTTAAATACTTACAGACGTGACATCATAGATATTTCTAACGGGGTAACATTAGTATTTCTCTCATTTCCCTGTGGGTAAGATAGAACTGTCCAGGGTAAGATAAACTGTCCAGGGTAAGAAAGAGGTGTAGAAAATTTCTATCTTACACCCCATTTCACGTGACGTGACGTCACAAAAAGTCTCGGGTTTTACCGAATTTGAAAACCCCTCTGGTGGAATTTCCCTATCCTACACCCCTGAGCATGAAAGAGTCCTATAATATTACATCCGTATATCTATGAGCAATAAAATGGCTACTTTTAGTCAATGATACGAGTCCCGTAAAGATTGATATTATCTATAAAACCAATTTATGATTTTCTCTAGTATTTATAGATCTTTGCACATCAAACTTTCCAATATGCTCTGGTTTACCATCAGTAGGTAGTACATGCACCAACATATCTTGAGATTATTGAGTTGAAATTGACCAAGAGTCCTCAAACATTTTAAATACATATTATAAAGGGATTTTGTTTCAACAGTAGTTAATCATATTACCGAAATTTCCATACACATCAATATGTAATCAAGTTTAATTGTATGTAACAACGCTCCAATATGTCGAGGTATATTCTGGGATAATTTTAACAGTTCCCTACACATCCAGATGTCGAGGTATGTAAACACGCATATGTCGAGGTATGTTCTGCCATAATAACAACAGATCATCTCTACATACCCAAATCTCGAGGTATGTTCTGACATAATATCAGCATATCCCTACACACTCATATGTCGAGGTACATCGCATAAAATATCGACAGATCCCTACACACTCATATGTCGAGGTTTGTTCTGACATAATATCGACAGATCCCTACACCCTCATATGTCGAGGTTTGTTCTGACATAATATAGACAGATCCCTACACACCTTTATGTCGAGGTTTGTTCTGACATAATATCAACAGATCCCTACACATCCATCTGGCGAGGTATGGTCTGACATAATATCGACTGATCCCTACACACCCATATGTCGAGGGAGCTGCTGACATAATATCAACAGATCCCTACACATCCATCTGGCGAGGTATGGTCTGACATAATATCGACTGATCCCTACACACCCATATGTCGAGGTATGTTCTGACATAATACTAACAGATTTCTACACACCCATTTGTCGAGGTATGTTCTGACATAATACTAACAGATTTCTACACATCCATATATCGAGGTATGTTCTGACATAATACTAACAGATTTCTACACACCCATATGTCGAGGTATGTTCTGACATAATACTAACAGATCCCTACACATCCATATGTCGAGGTAACCAGCATGTCGAGGTGTATTAAGGATATGAATGAAAAACGATCAAAGAGAAAAAGTATTCTATTTTAAGGATCTTTAGATAAGGGACATACTATATACTTATATATAATATTATAAACAAGTCACATATTATGATGGTAGTCGAAACAAATTTTAAGTAAAATGTTTATTAAAGTTGTTTTTTTGTTTTGTTTCACAATGATATGCGTTCTTACTAATAAACTTAAACATCCGCTAAAGGTGATTTACACAAGATTTGTTTACATGAAAGGAAACGTTTACCGATATATCATTTACCGGTTTTTGTGAAGTCTACATATTAGATGTGGGATTGACAAAATCGGCTATATGAAGTTATGTGCTCGTTATATACTCGGACGTTGAACGAGGTTAATACTGGGTGAATTTGATTTCATAAATGTATATACTACAGTTGCTGAAAGGTTTTTCGCTAGTGATATTACTGATGAAAATTTACCAACAGTGCCAGTGTTTGATGAAAGATCTTTTAATAATTCAAATATTTTCATATTTAGTATTAAAGAAATAAAACATAAAATATTTGTGTCAACAGTACGCCTACAATAAAAAGAAAAAAAGACGCATAGTTACAAAAATATAGCAATATCTCCCACCTTTAGGGGGTTCATATAATTGTTAAAATCTTATTTGTTATAATCACAGAAAAAAAACCGCAGTTACCCGATGGCATCAAAGATGCGAGAAAGCGCCGCTATACATTAACAATAAACCCCGAGATTAAAAGCTGGCCTAAAGCTAACATCAAGTCGAACTGTCACGGTATTTACAATAGCTCTGGTAAGCTTACCATTCACCGGGATCAGACATTTATGCGTCATGTATCGTTTGGTTTACTAACATCAAAAAGGTCTATTGTATTTCTATTCACTAGCTCTTTACATACATACCCACTACTAATATGTATACTATTTGTCAACACAAAGACAAATGTTCCTTGTACATCTTACTGCTGTGACACCTCCCACTCATAAATGGCACACGGGTTAAGGAGAGGAAGCTTTTCAAGCATGAGCACTTCGTGTATGGACGTTCCCTGTGTAGGAGTGACTTCAAATTATGTGTGGATGATGTTCGATGAGTGCCTTGTGGTCTTACCTTTCACAATATTGAGTATTGTGAAATGTAAGACCAAAGACTCTCGCCTATGGCAGCTAAGCGAACTATATAGATGTACATGTATTTTGTAAAGGCATACCCTAAAACATTGTCTGGTTTCTTCATATGGTCTGGTTTAGCATGCTCACCTTATTAGGTCCTATTGGTTCGCTCTAGGTTATTGTTCTGGTCTAATTCGTATGACCTGGGTTTATTTATTGAATTTTAAAATTGAACTTTATTTTTTATAACAGTTATAAAAAGAGGATCTATGAACATTTATTGCTCTTACGGCCAATATGGAAGCCCCAGAGAAGGACACCAGAGTACCCGAAGTACTATGGTCGGGTCCCACTGGTCTGTATTGGTGTGCTACCTATCTATTCTGATGTCTCCACTTGCTTGAGGACGGTGACAGATCGTAGGTGGAATTATTAGCGTATTGATGCGGTACGTGATAATGAACAGCTGTATTTATTCAGATTGCTGTAAAGGTGTTTTAATGATTACTTTGATGCTGTCTAACCTGTTGAACCATCACTAAAAATGCAAGTAGAACGTTCGTGCATTTCCCTCTCATGTCTCCTGTCTATTGCTGTAATACCCTCTTCTGTTCCCTGTGTAGGTTTGGGGACAGACACGACCTGCTGTATCCCGCTGCATATCGTAAGAAGCGACTAATGTTCCCTCTTCCCCACCCCCACCCCCATCGACTAAAGT